AGGGGCTAGAAAAGGTGCCCTGAACATTGCCTGCTTCACCTTCACCCTGGCCAGCATGCCGCGGCTGGCGGGGATCCCACTACAGTGGTAAGAAGAAAGAAAAGAAGTCTACTAAGGTGACTCCGCTCCCATTGGAGCCGAGGCCGACAAATCAGAGAGGAGGACTGCCCTTATTGCCAGAGAGCTGGCTAGATACAAAGTTCAGATTGCTGCCCTCAGTGAGTCCCGGCTAGCCAAGGAAGGTCAACTGACAGAAGTTCGCGCTGGATACACGTTCTTCTGGATTGGCCACAGACAGGATGAGCGTCGCAAGGCAGGTGTTTGGTTTGCCATAAAGACCAACCTGGTGAACAAGCTGGCTTCACCCCCCAAGGTTGTCAACGACCAATTGATGACAGTCTGACTGCCCCTACGCAGAAAGCGGCATGCCACACTGGCATGTCAGCACCTATGCCCACACCATGACCAGGGTAGGCACAGAGTACGCATCATGGAAGGGAATACTGGGGAGAAACGGCATAGGCAAATGCAACAGCAATGGCTTTCTGCTGCTGGAAACCTGTTCTACACATGAGCTTCTCATCACCAACTCCGTCTTCCGCCTGCCTCACCAGAACAAGATGTTGTGGATGCACCCTCACTTAAACCACTGGCATCTGCTGGACTACGTCATTGTTAGGCAGAGGGACAGGCAAGATGTCCAAGTTACCAAAGCCATGTGTGGAGCAGAGTGTTGGACTGACCACCGGTTGCTGATCTTCAAACTCAAGATCAGAATCCAGCCTCCCAGACGTCCACAAGGGCAAAAGGTCCCAAAGCGACTGAATGTCTCCAAGCTCAAGAGCGATCACGTCAAAAAGTCTCTGGATGAAGAAATGGAGAGCAGACTGGATCCCCAAACTTCTTGTACTGGGGACATCGAGTCAGAGTGGGCTGTCTTTCGAGACACCATCTATGCTGCAGCCTCTGAGGTGGTGGGCCCCTACCACTCGCAAGCACCAAGACTGGTTTGATGACAACAACGATCATATCCAAACACTGCTGGAGGAAAAACATTGTCTGCACAGAGTTGCCTTCAGCTACAGCAAAAGAACTGTACAGCTTGAGTTATGCCAAATGCAGGACACATGGCTGAGTCAGAAGACAGATGAGATCCAATCCTATGCCAAGCACAACTTCATTAAAAACTACAGTAAACTCAAGAGTGTCTATGGCCCAACTTCGTCAGGATCGTCCCCTCTCCTTAGAGCTGACGGGGACACACTGATCACTGACAGAGAGATCCTTGAGTGCTGGGCAGAGCACTTTGACAGTGTTCTCAACCGCCCATCTTCCATTAACGACGAAGTGATCGAGATGCTGCCACAGGTTCCTACCAATCATCCTCTTGCCGATGTCCATACCGAAGACGAGGTGAAGAAAGCAGTTAATCGCCTATGGCAAAGCTCTAGGTGCTGACTCAATTCCAGCGGAATCTACACCTCTGGTGGTCCACAACTGATCAGGAGACTCGCTGAGTTGTTCCAGTCCATGTAGTCCTAAGAGAAACTTCCCCAGGAATTCAAAGACGCCTCAGCTGTCCACCTCTACAAACGGAAGGGGAACCGGCAAACATGCGACAACCACCGTGGCATCTCACTGCTGTCTATTGCTGGGAAGATACTGGCCAGGGTCCTACTGAACCGTCATGATTCAACACTTGGAGCAAGGTCTATTACCGGAAAGCCAGTGCGGGTTCAGCCAGGGCCGCAGCACCGTGGACATGATCTTTGCTGCACATCAGCCTTTACACCACCTTCGTGGATCTGACCAAAGCCTTCGACACCGTCTGCAGAGAAGGGCTCTGGAAGATCATGTCCAAGTTCGGCTTTCCTGAGAACTTCATCTCCCCTGTTCAGGGATTTCCATGATGGCATGCAGGCCTGCGTGCAGGACGATGGAGACTACTCGGCGCCATTCCCTGTAAAAAATGGCGTCAAACAAGGCTGTGTGCTCGCCCCAACTTTGTTCAGTATGATATTCTCTGCGATGCTGACGGATGCCTTCCATGATGGCGATATCGGAGTCGGTATCAGATACCGGACCGATGGAAAACTGTTTAACTTGCGGAGACTGCAGGCCAAGACCAAGGTTCAGGAAGACACAGTCCGTGACTTTCTCTTCGCAGATGATTGCGCATTGAATGCTGGCACTCAGTCGGATATGTAGGAAAGCATGGACAGGCTCTCCACGGCATGCAACGACTTCGGACTTACAATATGTACAAAGAAGACTTAGGTGATGTTCCAACTAGCTCCTGCAGCCCCTTACACAGAGCCCACCGTCACGGTCAACGGCCAGAAAGTTTGTCTACCTTGGCAGCACTCTGTCACGATCCGTTACCATCGGTGAGGAGGTCGCCTACAGGATTGCCAGGGCTAATGCAGCCTTTGGCAGACTCCGAGACAGTATGGGAGCGAAGAGGGATCAGCCTGCAGACAAAGCTCAAGGTGTACCATGA